GGGGGCCGGCCCGCTCGGCCCAGCACAGCCTCTACTTCAGTGAGTAGCGCGGGCCCGGGGGGGCGGCCGGGCTGGGCGCCGCCCCGCGCTATCGCCGCTATGCTTTCTGCTCCCTGCCCTGTGCTCCTTGCCCAATCCATTGCTCTGTTTTCTGCTTCTTGCCCTGTGCTTCCTGCCCCATGCGTTGCTCTGCTAACTGCTTTCTGGAGCTGAGCAGCTGCTTTGCTTTCTGCTTACCTGCCCTGTACTCCCTTCCCCATTGGCTGCCCTGCTTTCTGCTTCCTTGCCTGATCTGAGTGGGTGCCAGCCAGTGGAGCACTCATTAACTTTTGACCCACACTCTCATCCCTGTTTTCACATCTGTTGACCCCCGGAATTCAGTAGCCTCCCTAATTAAGAGAGGATTAAAGTTTTCCCAATGAGGCTAAGGCCCACTGTACCGTGGCCTTCGATCCGCTGCTCTGCTTTCTGCTTCCCTACCCTGTCCGATCTGCAGCTGTGTTCCTGCCCTGCCTGCCACTCCACTACTTGCCCCCTCCCTGATCTGCCGGGTTGCACACAGAGGCTTGAAGCACGTGTGTGTCGCAGGTTAGTCACCCCTGTTCTAGCAGACATACCAGGGACTAGAATCTGCCTTGTGCAGTCACATTTATGCTCATTAGTGTTTCAGATATGCCTGTAGCAAAGGGAAATTTGCAACTTAAATGAGGGTGTCCATCCAAAGGCGAGCCCGTTGAGCAGCCTGCAGTGAGTGTGAATGTGTGAACAGAGCTGAAAAAGACCTGTCAAAGCTGAGAAAAAGCTTTAGGTGTTTTGATTCAGAATTACACAGTTTAATAGTAGCAAAGATGTAAAAAAAAAAAAAACATTTCCACATGTTTCTTCTCTCGTGCTGGTTTCATATCTCTACGATTCCAGTGACTTCAGGGGAGTTGCATTTGATTTACATTGGGGTGAGGAAAATGGGCAGGTTATGTAAATTGTTAGTAATGCATCATCATGAGGCTGTTGGCAAGAGGGCTGATTTAGGGAAAGTCAGTTCAGTTGGAGCAGTGAGTGACCTATGACTAAACTTTGTCTTTCTTTGCTGAGAGAGGCAGTGTTACATTTGGAAGACTTCCAGGAGTTGTGAAAAACTCCAGTGTTCTTTCCTTACTCCAGGGGTGACTGAAGTGTAATTCTCAGTGCAAATAGGCCTATGTCTATACTTACCTTAAATATGAACATAGGTAGTTGGATCAGGGACGTATGCAGGCATTCGTGGTCTCTGAGTACCGAATGTCTTTTTTATCTGTGGTTTCTCTTTATGTGAGCTTGGCACAGTCCTTGAGCTAGGTAGAAAGTACATCCCTGAGTTCTGAAACAAAAATGTTAATGCTTCCCCTTCTGCTCCACTTTATAAGAATAGTGAAAAAGTCTGAGACGTAATCCTTGCCCTGTTGAAATAAATGTCAGAATTTCCATTGGATTGATCAGGACTTTAGCCCTAGTGTTTGCCATTCTTTCAAGATAGACTTTGACCCTAACCACCTTGTAGTGTTGCTTGTAATTAGTACGGTCTGTCTATGAGTGGAAGTCCTCTTTATTCAACTGAAATTAGCTTTTTTGTTACTTCATATAAGCTTATGCCAAGGGAACGCTGTGAAGTGTAATAGCTGCAGTATGTTCCACCTGTATAGTTCATTAATGGCTCTTTTTTTATTAAGTTTTGATATGGTAGCTGTCCAGAATGAAGCCTGCAGCACTTCTAAAATCCTAGGTCAGGTGCTGCCAAGAAACCAGGAAAATACCAAGCTTGGAGGAGAAAAGGTGACAGGACCATTGTCCTATGCTGTCATTTGCGGGGCTCCCACAGAAGGGCAAGGTGACCCTTTTTTCCCAGTAGGAAGGCCCAACATACAAAGAGTTCCTCATGATTGTGCTCCACCCTTAGAAAGCCCTGTCTGGCCACCTGCAAGAAATGCATGAAATGGTGTGTGCATTTCATACCAAATGTCTTTTCCTATAGTGTTTTTGGTTTGGAAGAATACAAGGATTGTGTGACATCTTTGCAGGATTCATTTTGCTGATTGCTTTTAGGGGAATGGGTAGGCAGAAGAGATGAAGGACATAGTGCAGCTGTCCGGTAGACTAGTGGTTCTCAACCTTTTTCACACCTGTTAGCATAATTATCAGCTTGCTGCGACCAACAGCCCCCTGATCCCGACCCATACAATCTCTCTCTCTCTCTCTCTCTCTCCCTCTCCCTCTCTCCCTCCCTCCCCCCTCCTCTGGCTGCTGCATCCGGCCCACTCCCTCCCTCTTTGGCTCTTGGGGGTGCTCTCATAATGCTGTGTGCTTCCCATGCCCCTGGCTGTGAGCTGTCTCCTTGTGGGCTGCCAGCGTTGCAGCTTGCAGGGGAAAACTGGGCGCTTCCCTGGAACTTCCCTCGACCCTTTACAGTGTTTTCACAACCCACTTTTGGGTCTCAACCCACAGGTTGAGAAATGCTGTGATAAACAGTATCAAGGGTAGATGTACCCTTTTTGTAGTTAAGTTTGGAATTTGGAAAAAAAACACCTTAAAAATGGAATTGCAACATAAACCCCAGAAAATCTGTATTTAGATTACTAACAAACAATAAGTTAGCAAAGTGCTTGATTGATGCTTGCTTGTTTAGTTAAGATTTGTAATGCTTTTTTTGTCTTGCAGAGAATGCAGAGGGCAAATATATTTCTCCATTTCATGACATCCCTCTGTTTGCTGCATCTGAAGAGGTATTTATTTATGAGTCTAACAATTATTTCTTAAAATGATGGTAATTTTTTTTCCATTTCAGTTGAAAACTTTTTTTTAAAACTAAATAGTACTGTAGATTTATATATTTTAGGACCAAAAAAGTTATTGTGATACTAATAACTATAAGATGTTATTATAAGTTGTTGTTATTAGGGGTGCACTGATAAAGATTTTCTTGGCTGATACTGATAGCCCGTTATTAAGCAGCCATATTGGCCAATATTGATCCGATAGCCAATTTTACAGGAACGCAGCCCAGCAGCTTGGAGATCAATGCCCTGCAGTAAGTCTGTGGACGGGAAAGGGCATGGGGGCGGGGTGTAGATTTGAGGCTCCCACGGTGTGGGAGGGAGTGGGGCAGGGGCTGGTGCTGCCCAGCCAGGGTCGTGAATAGGACCCTGGGGCTGGGAGTAGGATGGAGCTGTGGACACTTGTCCAGGGGATGCGGTGGGGGTGAGGAAGGGCAGCTCCCTGCTGCTGCACGCACCCCTGGGGGCGGCATGTGCCTCACCCCCCAGATGTGTGTGGAGCAGAGGTGGGCTGCCTGCTGTAGGTTTGGGACCAGGGGCAGTGCCAGACTCTTCCTGGTGGGGGGACTGGGTGGGGGCAGGGCAGGGCGGACTCAGCTTCATGGAGCGGGTGGTGGAGGTGGTGCTGGGAGCGATGGCTGGGTGGGGGGAGCTAGGGGAAATTTTAGAGTAGCTATAGCCCCCCCCAAGTCTCCCCCTAGCACTGCTCCTGCTCAGGGGGCACTCCACTCTTCTGACTTTCCTTCTGGAGCCCTGCACTGGCTGTGCGTACCCTGTCCGTCCTGCAGTGGGGGGCTTCCAAGAGAAAGGCAGCAGAGCACTTCTCCCAGGGGCAGGAGCAGCAGTTGGGAACCGCCCCCCTTCCCACCTACTGTGCCCCCTGGATGAGCCACCCACGGCTCTGGCCTGCTTCTGGCCCTGGGGTCCCATTCATTGCCTTGGCTGGGCAGCCCCTGCCCCACTCCTTTCCTCACTGTTGGGGCCTCAATCTGCCACCCCACACCCCTTCCCTCCCCCTCCCCCACGCCCTTTCCCTTCTCCCACCCCACTGTAGTCTTACCTGCAGGACACTGCTGGGCTGCATTCCTGGCTGCGTGCATTCATTGGTAATATTATCAGCTACTCTAGCCAGAAAAAGCTGATAGTTGATGATGTTAATTTTCCTTTTGTTGCTGATCCAATATGCGATCAATATATCGGTGCATCTCTAGTTATTATGATAATAATTAATTTCCTGCGTGATATAGGTCATAGAATGTCAGTTAGTATTTTTTCATAGGGCTTAACACTTTGTCTTAGAATTAGATTATAACTTGCAAAAAGCTAACCTTAATTTAAAGGCTCTAAATGATGAGAAAGCTAACCACATCTTTTGGCAAGACGTTCTGGTAGTTAATTAACTTCACTCTTAGGAGTTTGAGGTGATATGTTCCTAGAATACAAAGTTGTTATTCCTAAATCACGTTTTATTTTGCAGAACCCATATAATACAATATTTTTCTATATGTGCATTTAAATATATGCATTTCCGTGTACCTTCCAAAACTTCTGGCAGATTTGCTGAGGAGAAAGCATATGTAATCTGTTTAAGAGGGTGGTATAGATTTCTTTTAATTCCTGAAAGGAGTGTTATAATTTGAAGCTGATGATAATGCCCAAGAAAGTCATGATAAGCGCACCTTAGGAGAATTACAAGGCAAGAGGTGCAGCTGAGCACTTATATGTCTCGTTAGACATGCTCCCTGGAGTTTCATTATGACCGTAATGAAATGCCTGTTTCATATGTCATTGGGAGCTGCCAGTCTTTGGTTTAGTCTGAAGTCTGTTTATGGCAGACTTCTAACCCGTTTATGTAAAAAGTGTTTGTCCATTTTTTATCATTTGTTGCCTGGGCCAATTGGATGACCTGGATGCTGAGAGAAATCTACAACTTTAACACACACTGTCATCAAGTCTATAGAAAATATCCCTGATGCCTTCAAGCAGGCAGACTAAACCTGCTAGTGAGAAGTAATGGAGAAGACTTAGAACTAGGGGAATAAACTTGCCAGTGAAGTCCAGAGGTCATGCCCTGGTGACATGCACAACCTTCTTGCCATCCATAGCTGCTAGAAGAGAAGTAGCTGTTGCTGTTTCTACTAGGATTCTGCTCCTGGATCCTCCGTGCAAAGCTATTTTTATTTTAATTTATCTTCAAGTGCCCGTCCCAGTCTGGCTGCTAAATGTGAGGAACAAGCTTTCTATTTTTAGTTTCCCAGTGGAGTATCTGAGTTGCTGGAAGGGGTATGGATTTCAATATTATTACTCTTACCCTCTCTCAGCATCCTGGAAGCTGCAAAAGGAAGAACTAAGGAAGAGGTTGGTATTCCTTTTCTTTCCTCCAGCCTCTGCCTCCTGAAGTCTTCCTTTCCTGTGAATAACTTTTTCCTGCTGTCCTTTACAGTACTATTCTCAGCCTTCTCAGGCAGCAGTATTATAAAGTTGACATGGTTTTTGATTGTTTTGTGATTGTAGGGGGGAATTGAAACTCACTCACCCTTTTAAATTTTACTTAGCTGTTGCCTAGCACCTGTTGAGTAGCAGCAAGGAGAAACTAGGTTTTTTCCTGTCTTGACTTGGGAAGACAAAAACCCATCTGCGAGCTTTTGGAAGTTTTTGGCTCTGAGAACTGTAAGAGCTGGAAACTTTCTGTGCAACTTTAAATCTAGTCAACATAAATGTAATAGCTTGAGCTCTTACACTCACAAAGTCAAGCATTTTAGTTTCTACCCCATGACAGGATTTTTCAAACCTGCTTAAAATTAATAGTCTAGTCTGTATTTATATAAACATTGTAGTATTATCTTCTCTAGCAGGAGTATATTTGGGATTTGACTCATGTAAGTGAGCATTCTAAATTGGAATTTTTCTTTTTCTTTATAGGACAAAGAGATTCCAGCAAAGAGATCAAAGATTAATGGAAGTGAGGTACAGTTAGAAATTATTCTTTATTAAACATCACTTGCTAATACTCTACTTGCAATGGTTAGGTTGTTATGGATCTTCCAGGCATGGTGGACACAATAAGAGCTGTTCAGTACTGTGCATCTTTCATTGAATACAACTGACAAGCATTCAAGTAAAAAAAATGCTAAGGGAAGAGGGAGCTGAGTGGGATCTTAATGTTTTCCTCTTCAAATGGGTAATAAATGTCAGGTTTTTCTATTCATCAAGATGTTCTAAAAGACAAACATTTTTATCTTTCTGTAGAAGCTTCGTTATGACATTTGCAAAGTTGATCCATTAGCTTTTCTCCTATTACATTCAGAAGCATGCACAAGCCTACTTAATGAAATATTCATTGTACCTTCTGACTGCAGAATAAACGCACACAAAATATAAACCTTTTCTTTTAAATGGGCCTTGAGTATGATGGGCCAAACCCCAGACCTACGGGTGTGTTTGGGATTTCAGGACACATGCTTTCTGGGTTGTGCAGATGGGCACAGGAATGGAAAGTGACACATTATCAGGTAGGCAGTGTTGCTGCTAGTTGCAGAGTTAACCAATGCCCGAGACTTTTATGTAAATATGTGTACAGGAGTCTTTATTATTGTCTCCTTTTAAAATTATAGCATTTCTTAAATATTGAATTGAAGAATAAAAAATAATTGGTCTCTGTTCTGGAGGCAATTTTTTTTTTTGTTTCCACCAACCCCCCTGCACCCCTCCCCCGAAAACATGGATTCTCATATACCATGGATCCTTGGTAAAGCTTCAAAGTAGCTGTTGAGCATCTAGCAATCTGCAGTCAGGAAGACAATACTGAATAACCATACTTCAAAACTCTCTGGCCCTTCTAAGTTGGCAAAGTGTCACAGATAGTTTAGTTTCAGGTAGTGTCACAGTTAGTGTGTGACATTAGTTCCTGCATCTTGTTGAAGTCCAGTGCACTACCCCGATACCTGTCCACTCACCCATACACAGTAATTCTGTAGCTCATAATTTATTTAACCCACAGTGCCCAGTTACATTTCCTTTGATTCACTGCATTTTGCTAATGCAAATTTAATTACTGAGGTAGGGGCAGACTTGTGTATGAACCTGCATAAAAACTGAAACGTTTCAGAGGAGCAGTATGATTGTTGGGAAGGATGGTGAGCATGCTATTGCAATGTGCATTCTTGTGCTAGAACAGGGCTTTTAACCTTTTTTGGTTGGGGTACCCCCGGTGGCCAGTCAAGAACTGAAGAGTCCCGCGACAGCTGGTCGACAAGCGCGGGGAGGATCCCATGCGCGGCAGCAAAACTGGAAGTGCCGCCGGCTGGGACCTTTCCAAGTACCTCCAGGGTTGAAAAGTACCTCCAGCTCAAAACCCCTGTGATAGAATAATGATCTCTGCAGGCAGTCATGTATTCTGTCTCTTACCTATCTGTTCATAAGCATCTATGACGCTGTTCCTTTTGTAGAGCCTCACCTACAAAATGACCGAAACTATGAAACTTCTGAGCAGTAATAAAGTTTTGTTTAGTGGAAGTCATGTTAATTTTGAATAAAACAGTGTTGGTTTTTCCACATATGATGTATTGTCTGTGGCCCTGGTCCAACGAGGATTTCCACAGGTAGGGACCCATTTATGTAGGTGTCCTAACAGAATTGGAGCCAAACATAATGCCATCACAGATTGGTTTGACCTCCTTTAGGTGAACGTACATCAGGCTACTGTGTTGGGGCCCAATCCACTGGGTACGTGTGCTTTAAACATCTCTTGGTCTCAGTTGGCCGCAGCACTATTTCCATTCTAGGACCGCCTGGCACATTTCCTAGGCACAGGCTTTTTAGCTGTTAGCCCTTCGTGGAAATAGAGCTGTGCAGCTCAGCTTCCTCCAAGATAAGTTGGTAGCTTAAGCCTGCCTTCTTTCACAATCCGAGCTCTGTGGGCAGCAAGTTGTATCTTCAGGGGTCTGTGATAGAGGTAAGCAACCAGAAACACCCAGACAATGCATAGGACTCTTAAAATACTATTGGGTTTTGCTTAAAACAAAAGCGCAAGTGAATACAGATAACTTAGTAGATAAATATCCTGAATGCAATGCTCCACACACTAGTTCACTTTTTCTTTGGAGGGGTCTGTCTCTCTCCAGGACAGCAGAGTTTTCTCTGCTTCAGCAGCTCCTGCAGCAGCTCTCCTCATCTCAAATGGTGAAAAATGCATCCCTTTCTCTTTCCCAGTAGAGCAGCACTTGCAGTTTTGTAAGCTTTCAGTCCCCTATGTTGTTATCTGTTACAGTATATGATAACAAACCCCTGTCAGGATGGCTTGGTCATGAGTAGGCTTGGAAGAATTTGCTTGTATTTTTTAATACTTTTGATGGATAATATCAATGCTTATCTTTAGGCATTTATTTTTTATTTTTATCAATCTAAATTTTCGGGATTGTGCAAAATTAGGGATGTGAGGGCAGTCAATTTATTAATGAAAAATGTAACTACTGTAGGACGGCTGCCAGCTGAGCGGCAGGGCTGCCAGCTGAGCGGCAGAGCTGCCATCAGTCCTGGCTGTGCTTGCCTATAGCTCTTTCATCCACTTTGTCACTTCCTCTTCCTATTTGTTCAGTCCTTAGGGTTTTTGGGAGTTGTAGTCCAAACTACTGCTCCTTCTGTCATCAAATAATCCATCAGCCATCATTTTTCTTACATCCCCTTTCTATAAATTTTGATTATTAACAATAGAATTTTTTTTTGTCAGGCTGTGTGTGTGAGGTGAAATCAACATTTATCAATGTTTAGTGATAAAAATCAAATCCTGCCAAGCCTAGTCATGAGGAAACGTTTGCCTTATGAACCATTTCTCTTAGAACAGAGCCAGCCTGTTGTTTACAGCATGGGTATTAAGCTCACATTATGCCACAGGCTAGATCTGGACTACGGGGTTCCTCAGGCTGGATCTGGCCCAGGGCATGGGGTATTGGTGGCCAGTGCAGCAGCAGTGGGGCAGGCAGTAGCAAGTCAGGTGGCCACGGGTCGTGCAGAGGTGTGTAAGCAGTAGTGGTCCGAGTGGCCGAAGGTTGACTGAGGGCAGTGTTGCATAGCTGTCACTTGCTCTCTTGCTGCTGCTGGCAATGTCCACTGGGGCTCCAGTTTCTGCAGGAAGTCACCCACTGCTAGCCATGTCCCCAAATTCCCTGGTCCATTGGTAGCCCAAAGGGCCAATTCTGGCCTGTGGGTCCTTTGTTTGACACGCCTAGTTTAGAGTCATTACTGTTCAGTAGAGGAGCAATTAAACAGATAGCTCTCTATTGCCAGACAGCATTCTGTGAAGCTGGCCTTTGCAATTCCATTTTAGTTTAGAGGTTAAAAGGCACCTGGGAACGCAAGTGAGGTGCACATTCAGAGTGGGGTTAATAGTTTTATAAAGGTGCAGCCAAGTTAATAATCTCAGAGAGGGTTTATAAATTGCACATAAGAAGATTCCCCGAATTTTGTTGCAATTATTGCTTATTGCATATTGATTGTTGTGGCACCTTTTGTTTTCTTTCATTGAAAAGGATCTGGGAATGGGAGTATGTAATAAATCACCTCAGATGTATGTAGAGGGAAGCTTTTGTCTGCAATGAAACACAGCCATCTCTGGGGTGAAGCAGGGTGATGCTTTACCTCCTCACCATAATACACGAGCAGGTTAGTACAGGGTGAAGAGGAACACATCCATTTGAAAGTGCAAGGGATGTGACATGTGCCATTGGTGCTCAAACTGGAATTTGGCTAGAATGTACTGGTCGTGTCTCTTTAATCCTGTGAAAAGTGACGTGACTCTTTTAATGGCCAGAGGTTCCCAAGTCCTTGGCTATATGGTGTTTCTGAAAGCCAGTTTTACATTAGGCTTACTCAGTCCTTATCTATTTAATTTTGTGTCTTTGATAACAGTTTAGATATGGAAAATAGACTGAGAAGACTTGCGCCAAATTTTCTCTATCTAATCTATTTCAAATTGTTCAGAGCCCTTGTGACATTGGAAAGGAAATTAAAAACGTTAGTATTCTGCCTCTCAGTGTACTTATTTCGCTTTTTGATTGAATGCATACAAGACTATGACCACAGTAACTGCTTTTTTCCAGTGTCTGACGCCCACAAAGCACTTGTATTGTGGACAAAGCTGTGCTGCCTTTGTATTGGTATAGAGAAACCACCCTGCCTAGGTGAAACAAGCTGTACTGGCAAAAGGGAAATTTCATTGGTCTAGCTGAATCTACCTTAGGGACTTCTACTGCCCCGTCCATGACTAAGTGGTTTGAAGAGTTGTGATTCCTGGCTGATCTATCTGTGCCAGCAGAAGTTTGTAGTGTTGCCCTGGCACAAGCTGGGTGATTGGAAAACTCAGCTTGTTTAAGGGCAGGTACAGTGGTGAGGACACACACCCCTTTCAGTTCACCACAGAGGGAAGTAAGAAAGCAGGAACAATTTTTTAGGTCCCTGAAGCAAGTAAGAATCCCCCCTCCCTTTTCTTCCATACTCATCAATACATCCCCCCTCACCCCTTCCCTCCTTCCACCTTGACTGCTCTTGCCCCTCAGGCTGTCCTGGGGGCAGAGAGAGCTCCAGAGCCACTCCTGTCTACTGCATCTGGGCTCTGCCAGGGACAGGAACAGCAATGGGAGGGTGCCTTCTTTCTGCCCTATCCCCCTAGGTGATCCTTGCCAGCGAGGGAACAGGCATGGGGAAGGGAATCTGCCTGCTGCCATACTTTCTCTAGCCAAGCCTGGCTCCTCCTGCAGCTTGCCTGGAGAAGGGGGAGGAGCTGCTCTGGACCCCCGCTGCAGTGCTGGGAGAGGAGAGGAGAGGAGGGGAGGGGAAGGAACATGCTGCTGGGCACAGAGGGTGTGGGAAGATATTTACCTGCTTGAGGGACCTTAAAAAAAAAATAGTCTCCCACTCCTGCTCCTACAGCGCTGTCTGCCTGCCCAAGTGTGTATGTGTACTGAGCGAGA